TGATATGAACCCCTGACTCCAGAGCAGGCAACGAAGAACTCTTGCTCAGAAATAAGCAACCTTACCCAGTGTGGCCGGCGGGGCCGGGAGATCAGTCTGGTGCAGGGAAGTGCGGTCTGAGATCTGATCTCTGATTCTACCCCCGAGGTCCCTCCCCTTCCCAAAGCCCGCCTTCCTCAGGCTCAGGGCTATTTTTGGGCAGGAACGCACAGGAACAGAGTTCCGGCTGGCTCCCAAGTTGGCCACGCCCAGCAGGGACTCATTAGCATAATAGGCCACACCCAATAGCAGAAACTCATTAGGATTGGCTACATTAGGGGTGTGTGGCCTAACATGCAAAGGAGTTCCTGCTACAAAAAAAGGCCCTGGGTGTTGACAACAAACAAGGTAAACAGAATAACAAGCAAAAGGTGGGTGTGGCTGGATGACCACACTTCTGGCAACATATGGGTGTGGCCTAATGTGCTAATGAGCTGTGCTGTCAGGGGTGTGGCCCAATATGCTAACGGGTTCCTGCTGTTGGGTGTGGCCTGTTATGCTAATACGTTCCTGCTGGGCTTTTTCTACAAAAAGAGCCCTGAGTCAGGCTCCACCCCCCAAATCCCCAGGAATTTCCCAACCTGGGCTTGCCAAGCCTAGTTCGATGTCGGTCATTTGAGTGGTTGTAAAGATGAGTCGGAGGCCCTTCCTAAATGCCCCAGCCACGCCCCGTGGCCTGTGTCCCTGTCTCACCGAAGCAGGAGACAAGGGCAAGTTTTCGGCTCCCTCCCGCCTTTCCTTTCCGGCAGTCACCCCTGGCGCTCAGCTGTTCACCGGACCTCTCCGTCCTTCTCTTTCCAGGCTACCAAGCGGACGCCGGGCGGTTCTTCTTCTTCATGTTGACGCTGGTGCTCGTGTCCTACACGTCCACTTCCATGGCCCTGGCCATCTCTGCCGGGATGGACGTGGTGGCCATCGCGAACCTCGTCATCACAATCTGCTTCGTCTTCATGCTGGTAAGCCTGGCCTGAATCCGTTAACCGGGTTTGCCAACTCTGGCCTGGGAAATTCCTGGAGAGTTGGGGGCGGGGCTGGGGGAGGGCAACGTTTGGGGAGAGGCGAGAGCCCAACCGGGGGTGCAACGGCATCGAATACACCCTCCAGAACTCCCACTTTCTCCAGGGGGACTGTTTTTTTGAGGTCCGGAGAGCTGTTTTCATTCCAGAAGGACTTCAGGCCCCACCTGGAGGTTGGCAACCTTGTCAGTCATACCAGTTTGGGAGCCCTCCTATTAACGTGTGCAAGTCAGTTTGTATTTGAAATGCCCATCCATGAATTCTGGCCGCTTCCACAGGAACGACGTCAAACGCAAGGCCCGCGGGCCAGAACCGGCCCACCAAGGGCTCTTATCCGGCCCGCAAGCAACTGGCCGTGGCCTTCCTAGCCCCATGGCAGAGGCTGGGCATTACGTCCCTGGATCCTGTCCCAGGGCTGATGGGTAACGGCTAGTGGAAGGGGGAGGGTGGCCGTCCATGCTCCCTCTAAGCTGTGGAGTCCTGTGAGCAAGAATTCTACTTTGTGAGCTCCTGGCATTAAAGCTGTGAGCGAGCGATTTGGCTGCTGCATAAATTGGTTTGCCCTGGAGCCACATCCTTCCCGAGCTCAGACAAAAACGTGTGAGCCGGAGGCTAAAAAACTCTGAGCTAGCTCACACTCACTCAGCTTAGAGGGAACACTGGTGGCCATCAAGGAGATACTTTAAGGAAGTACTGTGAGAGTGTTACTGTTTTAAGGATGTTTGTATTTTGAGTGAAAAAATAATATTGTTAGTTGGGTTTCCCTGTGTCCTTTATAAAGTTTTTGTCTCCAGTACCTGGCATTACGTTTTATGGCACACATGGCCTGGCCAAGGACATTCTCCTGAAAAATATATCGACATATAAGTTTTCTCCCCCCTCAAAAATTCTAGATCTTTTCAGGCTTATTGGTGACATTCTTCTGAAGAATATATTGATGCAGGGGTCATTTAGTAGAAAAAGAGGTGCAGGAGCTCATTAGCATAACTTATTTGCATGTGCCCCACCCCCTGACATCACTGGACGTGTGTCCAAAGGCAACACCCACTGCTCAGGCTCCATTGGACTGTTTTGGATTGCTAGCTATTGGGGGGGGGGAGGAACGTGCAGATCTGTCCTTGCAGAGGAGGGAGAGCTTGTACCTGAATAAAACTTGGTCTTAAAGGTGCCACTGGACTGTTTTGGGCCGGGGGGGGGCCCTCTCTGCAACTTACCTGGCTGCCTCTTGCTCTGACTGAGGGCTGCTGGGAGCAGGGGGTGGGGCTTGTTGCATGTGCCCGCCCCCTGGGCTCCTTACTGCCGGAGCTCCACTCCCGTGCGCTCCTGCAGGAAATGACCCCTGTATTGATGTATAAATTTTCTCCCCCCTCAAAAATTCTAGATCTTTTCAGGCTTATTGGTGAATCTTCCCTCTGTGATGGGCTGGCTGAACTGGCTGAAGTACTTCAGCATTCCCAGATACGGCCTGACGGTTCGTATGCGCCTTTTCTGTGTGCTTCCTTTTTAAGATCTCTTCCGGTACCAGGATTGATAAGGTTCTGTGAATGAAGCGTCAGCTCTCTGGACAGTGTAGGGAGGAGAGGAGGAGAAGCAGGTCTCTTGGTTTGGGCACCTACATGCTGAGTGCCGTTGTCGTGTTTGGCCTGAGGTAGGGAAATCCCTGGAGATTTGGGGCACGGAACATTGAGACAGTGGAGTCCGGGGAGGGAAGGGGATGTGACGTGATAGAAAGGCTATCCTCCAAAGCTGCCGTTTTCTCCAGGGGAAACGATCTCAGTAGCCTGGAAATCAGCCTTAATTCCAGATCTCCAGGCCCCACCTGGAGGCTGCCAACTGTGTTTTGGACCTGCCAGAGTGGCATACGATTTCAGAGACAGAAAGCCGAAGTAAAGGCAGAAAGACTTGGGAAACGGCCTTTTGAAGAGAAGAATAAGAAGATGATCAGAGATTTCTCTCATACCAACTAATAAAATAACATATAAACAGCGAACTGTTACAAGCAAGGACTCTACAAGTATATTGTGATATTAACACTAACAGTACTAATACTTTACTAACAGTAAAAGGATCTCCTCCTCTTGGGGTTTTAGTTTAGTGTGGTTTGCTTTCCTTTCTCCATAGATGTAGTCCCTTCCCTAATATTTCTTTGTAGTTTGTAGTTTTGCAAAATAAAAAATATCCCTCCGGGGATTTAAAAAAAACACAACACAATATTTCCAAAGGGAATCATGATTGTTGTGAGCCTTGCTTGAAAATGGCATGTTTTTCAGAGGCCAAACACACCGCCACTGTCTGAAAATCCAGACCTTTATTTAAATCGAGGGAGGCAAAACCAAAGCTAAATTCAACTGCTTGTATTAAATAGTGATAATAAATAGTGAAAGGCTGCTTGGTGGGTTTGCTTCTTGACCAAATGACTGCGGATTTATTAAAATCTACCAATACTGAACGTGCAAAACAGTGGCGTTCAAGACGGCATTTTAATTAGAGATTAGAAATTAAGTAGAACGATCAGCCTTTATTATGGAATAAGGTTGTAATCCACCGCGAAGATTATTGCAGGTATCTCCTGCTTTTACTGCTTTGCCTTGTATCTGGTAATTCCGCTTCCTGTATCGGTGTAGTGGTTAAGAGTGGCGGACTCTAACCTGGCGAACTGGATTTGATTCCCCACTCCTCCACATGAAGCCAGCTGGGAGACCTTGGGCCAGCCACAAGTCCTTTCAGAGCTGTTCTCTCAGGAGCAGTCCTCAAAAGAGCTCTCTCAGCCCCACCTGCCACACAGGGTGTCCGTTTTGGGGAGAGGAAGGGGAGGTGGTTGTAAGCCACTCTGAGTGAAGGGCGGGGTATAAATCTAACTCTTCTTCCTCCTCCTCCTTCTGCGGAGTATACCTCCGTTTAGGTGGGTTCTTGTCTGCCCTGTTCTCTGATTCTGTAATCTAAGTCCTATTACATGGTTCATTGTTTGTCTTGTGCTGTCTGTCTTTGCTGTTTTATATCCTGCAATCCCCCTTGAGTCTCACGGAGAGAGGTGAGCTGTAAAGAAAGTAAATACATAGAATAAAAATAAGTAGGCTAATTTGGGGTTTCTCCTCTCCATCTGTATTATTCCTCTAATTTGGTCTCTGGTTTCCTGCACAGGCCCTCGAAGTGAACGAGTTTAGAGGTTTGTATTTCTGTGGCAGTGATCGGCCGAACGGCAGTGAATCCTTGGTGTTGAGCAGCTGTTCCCAAAATACTTCCCAACTTGGGCAAAAGTAAGTGTCAGGCTCTTGCATTCTGGGCTGCAACAAAGATGGGGCCTTGATCAGCGTTCCCTCTAAGCTGAGTTAGTGCGAGCCAGCTCACAGTTTTTTAGCCTCCAGCTCACACATTTTTGGCTTCGCTCAGGAAGGATGGCTCGAGAGCAAGCTAATTTAGGCATTAGCCCAATCGCTCGCTCACAACTTGAATGCCAGTAGCTCACAAAGTAGAATTTTTGCTCACAAGACTTGACAACTTAGAGGGAACATTTGTCTTGATCGTCTTAAATTTGGGGTCGCTTATTGCTCACAAAGGTGACTTCCTCCTGAGCAGTGTTCCCTCTATGTTCCACAGTGTTGAGCAGAAATTCTACCTAGTGAGGGGGGGAAAGCTAGTAGCATTAAAGTTGTGAACAAGTCTACATTTGACTATCGCGTCATTTAATTTTTTAGACGATTAGTTCCATGACCTTGTAAAAATAATATAAATTATTTTAAATTATATTCAAACTATGTTCCCTCTATGTTCCACAGTGTTGAGCAGAAATTCTACCTAGTGAGGGGGGGAAAGCTAGTAGCATTAAAGTTGTGAACAAGTCTACATTTGACTATCGCGTCATTTAATTTTTTAGACGATTAGTTCCATGACCTTGTAAAAATAATATAAATTATTTTAAATTATATTCAAACTATATTTTAAGAATCATTTAAACATGATAAGAGAAAACAGAACCAAGTTAAATCTGACCCACCCTTTTCCACTATATTGGTAGGCCTGGCCTCTGGAGAACAGGTCTACCCACTCCAGTCCACTATATTGGTAGGCCTGGTCTTGGAATGTCACCCTGCGCTGAGCCTTAGAAAACAAATTGATGGTACGACCACATTTCGAATACTGTGTGCAATTCTGGTCACCACACCTCAAAAATAGGTCTACCCACCCCTTTCTACTATATTGGTAGGCCTGGCCTCTGGAGAACAGGTCTATCCACTCCAGTCCACTATATTGGTAGGCCTGGCCTCTGGAGAACAGGTCTATCCACTCCAGTCCACTATATTGGTAGGCCTGGCCTCTGGAGAACAGGCCTATCCACTCCACTATATTGGTAGGCCTGACCTCAGACTGTCACCCTGTGCTGAGCCTTATAATAATAATAATACCTTTTGATTTATTGATCGCTCATCCTGCAG